CAGTGCCCGTAGTCAACTCACAACCTGAAAATCTGTAATAACTAGCAAATAACAAAGCTTTCAGGCCCTCAAACGAAAATAATAGTCATTTCTATGTATAATTTCTTTAAATGCATGCCTTTCTTCGTAATAATTCGTCTGGGATATCAAAACACTATAACGCAATAGTACGAATACAATTCAGGAAAATATCGCTTTTCGGCTACAGAAGCCTAAAACTATCTGACCATACCCCATCTCACAAAATAAACGCTTATAACACCCCCTATATGCATGAACACGACAACCCATACAACGCACGAAAATACATTGCGAAAGCCTATTTCCTCACCCTAAAACGAAATGGAACGAAGTTTGGGCGGGCGCCCAACCTTGATGGTCACCTAAGTGCATGGGTTTACAATCTGACATATATACGAATTTGTTTTGATTGCTTGTACAATAATGCAACAACTTAAACTTTTTGGAAAATGCTAGTTTATGATAATTCACGACTTTAATTAATAACAAAACTATTCACACCTGTGGAAATGACATGCTCTTCATGAAAAGAGACCCGTTCATAAGAAATATAAATTATTATTTAAAAACAAGCTGCAAAATAAACAAAAAACTAGTGTACGAACAGGTGGTTAACAAAGAGTAATACATTCAAGGCCGACGAACATGAACAAAGATGACCTTGAGATGAAATGTGCACCAGGTGACCTTGTGCATGCCAGGTAATCCTAGTCCATTTTCCGACATTGCAACGCACTCTGTTAAGCAGGTCCATATTGGTAACATGGTATATACGCGCGTTCCTTGAATACGACTTGCTTTTTCCTCTCCAACCTATTTTGTGAATTATCCGTTTGCGAAACCTGATCTTCCTAGCCGGTGAATTAAATTCAACCATTACTTACATATTGAATCTCTGTGTGGTAAGTCCAGCTGTCTCTAACTACTGCCAAAGCTTCAGGTGCCACTGCTGTAGCAGCATCTTTCTCACTCGTTCAGATAAACAAGATTTGTTGGTCTACCACGTGATTTCTGTGAAGCCGATCATCCAGAAAGTACTAGGCAAAGTCGAAAACCTTTTCTTTTCCTTAGCTTATACTTTATCAGTCTTATTCTTGTTCATGTGGGTAGATACTGATCCTCTCTTATTATTATATAGCATAATTTTTGGTGATTGTTAATATGGCTGTTGAAAGTACTCTTAGGAGAAGCACTAAAACACCATATTCTGTAGTCACAAGGGTTTCAGCCAGAGGAGGCAATAACCCAGGGACATGAACCCCGTCTCACACACCGATCCTAAAGTCTTGTGTAGGTCTCGCCTGCTGTGATACTACGCCTGCATTGTCACAGTCTAGCACGGAATCGGCACAGGGAATACCAGGTGGACATGATACTACACCTGCATCAACAGTAGTAACAGTCTTAATACACCTCATACTACAAACCACATATAATTAGTCCCAGAACTACTCCTTTTGGAGTCAACCAAAGCTACGACAGTCGAGTGGTGGTTCGAGCCACGCAGAAGTTTACCAAAGATCAGGAACCTATACCTCACTATCAAGAGGTGAGCACAAATAAGTTGAATTGGTTTATACTAGCTTGTTAAAACGACATTGGAACTATAGAATCACTGAAAGTTCATTATTACACACTGCCTTCGCTCCGTCTCTGAAAAGTTTAAGAATGTTTTAGCTTTATGTAAGGCTGAGTCGATTTCCAATTATGATTTTGCACGCACTACGCTTTCTTGCGGTTTCAACTGAGTCACCCACTTACGGCATTGTTAGTTTTAGCTGTTCTTGGTTAATAATTAGCATTCCTTCCATCTTCATTCTCTGATGACTAATCCTCGCTCTCCTTAGTTTATAATTTGGTGGGACTGTCTTCTATTTTGGTAGCACATCTGACATGCGGGGCTTTTTCGTCATGCCTGTAGAGACGTATAAAAAACACGGACTTCGATTATGCAGCATGGTTTCGCAACACTAAATACGTTGATGATTTAGCAGTTTCACTGTAGCCAATTCCTATGGAAACTGAACTGCAAAGCTGGGCCATCTAAGGAGACCACATAATCACTTGTGTAGCACCTGCCACTCCAATTAGTTTAATTTTTCTTATTTTTTCTGCTCCTGCTAAAATTTTTGCTCCGCTTCAACGCTTTAAGTGTCTAAATAAGATTTACCTCCTTATGTAACACTTCACAATAAGGAATATGGTGTAGAGATGGTGAGAAATATTATTCTAGATAGGTTGATGTTTGCCACAGTTTCATTTCACTATCACTTTATCTCACTTTGATTTTATGATCCCGATTCATTTACAGAAACCAGTGGTAAATATTTTGGATGCCCGGTTGACCTCGACACTTATGAGTGTTAGCAAACCTTATGGTCAAGTCGAACGATGGAGGTGTAGGAAGTTCGCTTAGAGTAATATGTTGGCGTTGTTCAAAAACATTTAACTGCCGTGTTACTCTCAAAAATCATATTCTTGGTTAGTTCCGTTTTGTTACAACTTATCATTTTGACGTAAACCAGCTTTCGAGAATTTCGAAAAGTGATGAGAATGTCCCAAGTATACATAGCAGTGAGATATATTCTCAAATATTGTGTACTTTTGAGGCTAAGATGCATTTGAGAAAAGATAAAACAACTGCTTGTATTATAATAAAGGATCATTTCTGTTTTTACGTCTGTGCCGTTACTTCGTTTTTGTTTACAATGAGATACTTGAAGTTGTTTGTTGAGGAAAGTGGACAGTTACACCGAGAATTTTTCGTGAAATTACTGGCGTGCACCTGTAATTTATTTTGGGAAGTGCGTAAAGCTGTCATTTAATTTCTGACACATTGTCAATGTATCATTTTGCGTGTAAACGAAGTGTAATCGCAAAAGTATTCCCAGAGTTCATGGCATAATACCTTCTGTTTTATTTACTTATATGCATTATTTGACTTAGTGGGATGTGGTCGCGGGGCTCGTTAAGCAGTTCATATACGGGAAACACTCATCAAATGTAATTTTCAGGTGACTAGTTAAGCAAATACATGGACTCCAGAGAGTTGTTTGGCTGTAGCGAAATTTTAGCAGACGAAATATCCGATTGTCCATTAAGAGCCAATGGTACTAAGCAGCCGCGGTCTGTTCAACCGCATGATTGTAGAAAGTGATTATTATAAGTAAGGACCCGTCAGGGATAGGTGTTGAGTCATTTGCCTCTCCACTGCCGCCCTTGTTTATTCAGACAACCATGGTGGCACCGTCGAAGCTAGTCTCTGACTATTTCCCTGTGGTTACAGGTCACATTTAGGTGATCTGCATCTTCCCACACGAGACAAAGCACCAGTCAATAACTTCATGGATGTTCTATTCGTGAAAGCTAACTCTAGACAGTATTATATGACCATATATTTTTCAATTCATATCGTATTAAAAGTGTACAAACTAATAATATATAGTTTAGAAATCATTTTGCCAACTTAGAATTCAGCTGTATTGAGAGGTATGAAGACATAATTTAGTATCGAACTCATGTTTCAGTATTATTCCACTGTCATAACAACAGATGTTTTCATTTGAATGTAAACTAATGCTAACTTTTCTGAATGTAATTATTTAGTTTCATGTACGTTTTTTCAATTATCTTCACTTTCTCCCTATGTATTGTGAAAATTTGTCTGTTTTATTATATTCTAACCTATTTAAAGACGTATCATCCATTAGGCCGTATATGTTCATACAAAGCTGGGCCATTATTTGCACATAGTTCAAATTATTGTTCTGTTACCAAAACTAAACTCGATGTCCTAAAATTCGGTAAGTGAGTCTTAACTATGTCTACATGAGTAAAAATGTGTATAACAGGATGACTTCAATTTCAAAACACAAATTTCTCTGATTATCAGTTCCATCTAAAGTTAGATTATAGAGGTTTGTTGAATTTTTGTTGATGTGTCAGTTAGGTTGAAACGAAACTGACTGACTGAGTTATCGACGTAGAAGTTTAGAAAAGTTGCCACACTCCATATACCCCACAAAAAAATGCGAAAAAATTCAAAAGAACTGTAACGAATGAAAATGTGAGGAAAAAAGTATAAGTTCAAGGAGAAACTGATGGACTTAAGAGCTTATAACGAGTGAACGCATCTGCTTCATTCAGAACGATTTTGAACCATATCACCAGTTTGACAACATCGATTGGGAACCGCAGTCTGACAGTATACAGCTCCTTAAATGACTCAAATCGACAAACACCTCATGGACTGGTACCATGTTTTGATTTGACCACCCCCAATTCTCTTCGGATATAATCCTGTGTTCGCTGATTTTTCTTCCTTATCTAACGCGGTACACTTCAATATTATTCACCTTATATCGTTCAACATTGGAGTTAAAACTTAGGCATCTATAGGAGGTGACAGGTAGTCTCTCTGTATCCTCCACCTTCAACGGCCGTGCCTGATAGTCATAGAGAAGAACAGGGCAAACGGCACAGTACACGCGTCCTTTGGTCGCTATTCGGAAGCCACATATACGCCAGAGATGACGTCAGTTGGCAATTCCACGGAAGCCTTTTATATTGAGATATCGTCGGCGATAAGTCCATTGCGATCTATTGAACTTCCCAAATAAATGAAGTAGTTACCTCACCCAACTACTTCACTTTATCTTTAAGTTAAGAGTCAGTGCAAATGGCTCTTCTAGCATCATTTTACATGTAGCGGAGGTGAATTGGATTTCAAGCGTGCCAAAATTTCTGCTCGAGACTTCGTTTTGCCAGTCTCGTCACCTAAAAGAACCATATCCTTTACATACTCTATATGCCGGTCACTTTAATGCTATAAAATTCTTGTAAATGTATTTCGCTTTCTTTATACTGGTTGTGTAATACCCATGAACTTGCCACTTAATAATAATACAATGTTATACATTTGGTTCTCTTGATGAATTTCGATAGAGAAAGAAAGACCAGGTTTGCAGTATATGACGATATCATTCTATTTCACAGGTTCTCATTAGCTGCAAACTACCTGAAATTGCATTGCTTATAAGTAATAACGTTATAAGTATAAAACATGGGCACTGTGGTATAGCATAACTCCATTATGGAAAAGATTTTATTTTGATAAATCACACAGTGTTGTACAGTAATATTAACTGATTACGTTTCGAGCATAAACTATTGCTCATAATCATACCAGGTTGATATGATTATGAGCAATAGTTTATGCTCGAAACGTAATCAGTTAATATTACTGTACAACACTGTGTGATTTATCAAAATAAAATCTTTTCCATAATGGAGTTATGCTATACCACAGTGCCCATGTTTTATACTTATAACGTTATTACTTATAAGCAATGCAATTTCAGGTAGTTTGCAGCTAATGAGAACCTGTGAAATAGAATGATATCGTCATATACTGCAAACCTGGTCTTTCTTTCTCTATCGAAATTCATCAAGAGAACCAAATGTATAACATTGTATTATTATTAAGTGGCAAGTTCATGGGTATTACACAACCAGTATAAAGAAAGCGAAATACATTTACAAGAATTTTATAGCATTAAAGTGACCGGCATATAGAGTATGTAAAGGATATGGTTCTTTTAGGTGACGAGACTGGCAAAACGAAGTCTCGAGCAGAAATTTTGGCACGCTTGAAATCCAATTCACCTCCGCTACATGTAAAATGATGCTAGAAGAGCCATTTGCACTGACTCTTAACTTAAAGATAAAGTGAAGTAGTTGGTTGAGCTGGTTACATTTTATTTTCAGGTGGTGATGAGAACGTGTGAAATAGAATGATGTCATTTTATTCTGCAAAGCTGGTTATTCTTTCGCTATCGAAGTAATAGGATGCTTGGATATTTTATAACCGTATGAAATATTTCCGTTTTTTAAGGATTGCGAATTGGCACACACACACTTCATGTGATATCTTGCTATCTGTGTAAATTTAGTTTGTGCAAACCGGAATTCGGAGCTTAGATTTGGTTGCGCGATATGCCGAAAAAATTTATAACTGGTATTCAATTTACACGTCATATTTATTATACTCATTCAGAGCACACATTTGTGTGTAAAGGGAGAAGTAAGTTATGATTTTTGCACATAAGTGGTATGATTTCTATAATTCTGATGAAGTTCCTAATATCTGTTCAGGTATTAACAATGTCTGCTAGTAATTACGAAGTTGCTTACAAATTGTCAGACGTGATGGCTAGCAGTTTTTTCCTTGAAGTCATTATTATTTCCAGAGATAAACCTCACTGAGATTAATTTGATTGCAGTGGACCAACCGAAATTACGTGCACGTTAAAGTTTATCAGTTTGCTGCTACTGAGTGTTTAAATGATATGTTTCATCATTGACTTTGGTGTGAGAAACCAACTGTAGCTTACCGTATCTCTTTGTATGTTGCTAAAAGACTTGTAATTTTTGTAGGTTGGTGTTATTGAAGTGCACCTTTTTGTCCAAAGCAGACCCAGAATGTAGTGGACTTTTTCGAAAGAAGGCATAGATTTAACATTCACTGGACAGATATGTTGTTGTTAAATAGAATATGATCAAAGATCAAGATCTAAATGTTGACTGTGGTTCTACCTACCTTTCAAATTCACTCACTAAGACAGTATAACTAAAGAGTATTGGTTTGTAGGAATTCGATTAACCAGTTACAGGATTTCATCACGAGCTGACCGGTTAGAGAACCATTGGGAAACCTGGGAGTACTGGACATCTCTTTCGTCCTAGTTTGGGACTCTTCACAGTACTCACCCACCGGATTTGAATCCAGTACCTTCTGGTTACAAGACGAGCTCGTAGACTACTAAACCACTGATCCGATCCAGTGGCTAGGCCATGAATTCCAAACTCTGCCAATCCAAGACATAGCGCGATCGCTAGCCAATGTCTTCGGCGAGTATTTGTCCTCATGCTCTACCTGCTGTACCCTACTGATCACACCTTCTCACTAAAACCGCAAGTAACTACCTACTTGAATATGGCCAGTCGCTAGTGAGCATCTCATTGATATTCAAGTATTGGTTTTTAGAGATTTAATTAACTGGTCACAGTTCTTTACACTCCAGCTTTGATTTTTATTGCAGAATTAATAATTATGCATTTTCCACCTTGTACAAACACTGCTGCATTCCCATTAGCTTTCGTCCATTTTATGCATTTAGATTGATTAGTGATTTTCCACACTTAATACCTAATTGCAACCTCTGTCTCTTTTCCTAATCTCCACTTAGTTGCCCCCTCCTAGATTGCACCGCACATTACACAGTGCATCTCCTATAACATAGTTACCATTATGAATTCTTTGTTAGATATAAACACGATTCTGTAGCTCTTGAAAATGATTTGTCGAGAAGAAAATTTTTCTCTGTTATGTCTTCTTATATTAATGGTAAATTAGTTTCCACGTAAGTGATAGCATACATATCTTCCTACCTTTTTTGAATCTAGATTGTGGTCGAGCCTTCTTATCCAATTCACATCTTGCTCATATGACGACGCATACTTCTGATAGACCCTATCCTTGTCCAGTAGAGGGTTGTTCATATGAAGCTCGTACAGCTGGTCGACTTGCTCAACACAAAATTATTCATGGTCAAGGTATGCAAATCTTATTTTTATGCAAACGCTTTTTTCATTAAGAGTAAATGATCTGTAAAAAATCACACTACACTTTCTTTCTGTCATTTAAATTTTACTAAATAGACAAGCAAGTCAGTATAGAATCTTACGAAATTGTATAACCATATAAATTAATACACCTCACAATAACACGAATGAATTCAATAGGATTAATTTGTAACCAAATACCAGAATATGGTTAACTGAAGCTTGAAAACGTATCGACAACACTCATCTTCAATAACATTGTAGCATGTAGACGTTTAAAACCAAGCAGGTGTTGGTATTTTGTGTGGGTGTATTTTTGTGCACAAACAAGAACAGAAACACTTTGTACCACTGCTTAAGAATTCACTTCTGTGTGCAATTAAAGTTTAATTCTTTCTTACAATATCGATATTGAAAAAAATCTCCATTTAGATATTTAGGAAGCAAAACGACTGAGTGAAGAAATATTTACTTTTCAATTAGATCCTCATCTATGGCTTAACCTTCATTGCACTATCAGATTGTTAGTATCAATCTCTAAAGGCAGCAAGAACAACAGTTTTGCTAGAGTATGATTTTGTATTGTAATGGGTTTTTATTAGCTGTGATATTTTGATGTCAAACTGAAGTAAGGGTTTAATTTACTTGAATTCAGTCAATTTAGGCAAAATGAAAGGAAAAAAGGTCTAATACATTACCGTTGTATTTCGTTGAAATAGGTAGTACCATACATTTTCGTTCATTGTAATTCAAATTACTGTTAAGCATAATGACTATGGTTGTTTTACTGCTCGCTAACTGGCGGGATAATTACGATGCCCATAAGTCGTGTCACAAATATTTCCAGGTATATTGATATGAGAAAGGAAATTGTGGTGATATATAATAACATAATAAAGTAATTTTATTTGATAAACAAAGCGACCGTGTTTTACTAATGCCATTTGGAGCACAATATATAGCTTGTAGTCATATCAAGAACAAGGAACTCTAACATTTAATATGGAAGCATAAATTCATTGACAAACTCACTGTCCGAGTTTTATTGCATTTTTTCAGGTCGTCGTTTCTCTTGTGATTACTGCGAGTACAGTGCTACCACATCTTCCAACCTTCGTCGTCATGCCCGAATTCATGCTGGGGCCAGGCCGTATTTATGTCCACATTGCACCCATCGCACGAGCGAGTTGGATGCTTTAAAAAAACATGTATTAGACTCCGGAAGACATCCAGGCTTACCACTATACGTGTGTCTGTGGTGCAGATTGGAATGCAGCACAGTATGCGTTGGATTTAATTCTTCGAATCTTGCGTGGCAGCATTTACTCAATGAACACTCACTTGAGATTACAAAACCACAGACATTGAGTCGAATCGGTCGATTATCTGAGAAATCGCTTTCAGAGGTAAGAATATCCGTAGTGTTATGTTTTAAACAGAACACTACGTTTTCTTTGCTTGTGTGATCCTTGAAACAATGTCTAGATTATTCTAAACACCTTTCACCCATATACGGAGTTTCAGCTTTTTCTGTTTTCCATGCATAGGTGGTAATATTATTCACATTGTATGCACGAATTTGTAAACAGTACATGACTGGATATAATAAGTCGGTTGGTAATATAGTGATTTCGTAACGGTTAAGTATAACAATCAATTGATAGATCTAAAGCCCACAAACAAGTAGTTAGCCACTGTGACACTTCTAAAACATATAAATTCTTTTATACAACCATTACTCTAACTGGATATTCCCTTGTAATAAGTAGTTTTAAAATATGATCGACCGAAGAGCTTTGAGTATGATCAATAGTGAATTTAAAATGTTGCTTGAATGTAGTGGGCTGTGAGTTACAAGTATCCATGCCAACAGTAGAACAGAGAGATAATGAACTGAAATCCGTTGACAACTTTCAAAATATGTAACGAATAGGATGTTTATGTCCAGCTACTATGTACTTCAAGTCGTTATGCCATCTAGAATAATGATAGAATAGAAAAGAACTCACTTTAGTCATCTTATCAACTAAAAAAACTAAAGTGTGAATATAATTTCGTGGAATCAGTAATAGCGTAAGAAAGTTATTGCCTGACTCCTATTCGTTACTATTAATTGTCGACTTTTCCATACTGCCTGACATGAATTTAAAATCTACTGCATATTTCAGTTCAGTTGGTTTTGTGCGATAGGATTATATGAGAATAAGGCTTAGTTTTTCCGAAATAGGACTTGTCGTCAATATATGAAGTCTTTAATTGTTAGCCTGCGTGATTTTGTCTAGTCTGGATGTGCTGCTTGGGGTTCACTAAATAATAAAGACAGACAGCTTGAAATTCTGTGTAACACAGATTAAAGTTGATGGTAGTGACAGGAATTTATTCATTGTCTTATCCTAATATAACTCGTAGGATTTTATTGTTTTGATGTTCGTATTTCTGAATGAATTAAACACTAAATAGATTTGTTTTTATTAGAATCTTTTTGTATCGAGTTCCATTTGATTAAGTCGGACGCACCTGTCTCTTACAAAAATAATGTCCTACGAACATGAAGGTAATCCATTCTGTTCATTACAACACATTTATTTTTACCTCAGGTTGTGATGTAACTGGTGTTACGATCTGGTAAAAGACGAGCTGTCTGAACCTAATGCCCCAACGGAAACTACTTTAATCTCAGCGTCAACCACAACAATACCACCGACAAGTGAAAAGAATCCTCTCCTTTTTTTCACTTGCCGGTGGTGTTGTTTTTGGTTGATGTTGCGACTAGCGATTATAGTAGTTTCTGTTAGCCTATTAAGTTCATGTAGCTTTCAGTCGACTCTGCCTTAATACCAGGGACGGAATGTTGATGGGATCGGATTCTGGACTTCGATCAAATATTCTTCCTACAGTACATATGTCTGATGGTATGGCAAATTTGACGTTTATTATATCTGAATAGGAGTGACTTTGCGCCATGTCAGCATGCTGAAGGCGATTTCTTGCTGTTAACGATGCGGTGAGTTTGACGTCGACGGTACTGGGTGCACGTTCCATTGGATTCTGACCGCCGGGCTGGAACAAGGTGGTATCTTTGCAAATGTTGGTTAGTCGTTGGTATTTATGTGTCTGATTCTAATGTGTTTAACCAGTGTGTTCTTATGTCTGCAAACTTTGGAGGCTGTAAATCATGGATGAAGATTTGCACTTTAAACTGATTTTCACTTAGCGACTTCAAACTAAATTGTCCACATGTGCTGCAGACTGTACCTAACCGCGTTTGAATATCATCGTTTTGTTGGGAAGCAGTTTCATACAATAGTATCGTAAGTTGAACAGTAATTTTTGCCACCGACATTCTAACGGAGTGTCTAAACGTTTTCATCGAATTTTCTCTCAATGGGAGAATCAGTTTGCAACAACTGTCCAATTCATCTGCACCTAATTGCTGAAGTAGCAATCTAACCTTTCAGCCTAGTTTATGCTTCTGAGATCCAATTTAAATAGGTTTTCGTATCCGTGATACAAAGCATCAAACGTAATTTTTGAGTTTGGATTATAAATAAATCCTAATATGTCGATCCTAACATTGTCGTTATCTGTAGGTGAATCTGGGAGGGATGATATCTTCAAATCATCAAGCAACTCCATAATTTTAGGCTAATGCTGCATCAATTTTTCTAAACGTAAATGACTCATATACACTTTCTGATCCTAAACTACTCATTAAAGTTACAGTTGACAATTTACCAACAGGAGTGAATGCCGTACAACTACATGAATTTCTTCACAGGACACAAAAGACTGTTATTCACATCTCACTACAGCAGCAAAGCGTTACACGCAGATAAAGCAGGCTCCTGCCTTAGTTTGTGCTGTTTAAAGGTCCCGTAGGATGCTATAGGGCTTACGTTGGGCACGGCTTCAGCATAAAATATCTCTACACAGAAGATTTCGGCCATGTGTGTATACTCTCTCTCGCATAATAATTAAGTACCCCTCCTGAACAAATAAATGGTTACTGCATCCTTGAAAAGAGAAATGCATGTTCAAAATTTTTTAACTTTCATGAGGGAGCAAGTACCGATTGCAGCAGAGCAAATAAGGCCAGTCATACGTAGAGATGATATCTTATAACAAGCTATGAGTTCTGACCGAAACTCTTGTCCTGCAACCTGTCAAACCATAACCTCAAGCAACTGCCCTCCAGTGTCACGGTCTCAGCAGTGTTAACGACTGCCTAGTGTTTGTAGAACGAATGGTGATATCTTGTGACACATCGCGCTTAAATGGTCGTAATGGGCACTTAGGAATTGTAAACTGAAAGTTAGGCATACTCGACAAGTATGGACGCTTACATGACAATTCAATCCTTATTTAGTAATACTGTTGAATATTCTTCAGGGGAGTGTATAATATTTTTAACAAGTAGCTGGCGCTTCGTCAATCTGTCGTAAATCCAAATCTGTCTTTATAATCGGCAATGGTTCATGAATTAACATTTGGTACATATTTATTCCTAAATAAAATATATATATATATATATATACTTTTTAACAATGGAAAAGTGTTACTTATTAATTAATTAATTCTATATCTGTCATAAATGCACTGAACTGAATGAGAACTGTGATCGCATAATCAATTGCAATATGCTTGAGAAATGATAATATACTACTTTATGTGGGATCCTATCAATATTGAATCGCTGTTTTTAGCTGACGTAGATAAATATACTTATTTTTTCTTGCAAAACTGAAGAATTAAAACTCGTAGTCATGTAAACATAATGTGGTTTTGCTGTTCAGAGTTATTTTCTGGCGCCATACTTGTTTGTTTATTTGGAATCTTCTACAGTTTGAAATATCAGGTAATTGTTTTTCACATGCATATGTCCACTGACAAACACTTTTCCTGTACTTTCATTATAGCGGGATGTCACCCGTATTTTGGGTATTTATTGGCCAGAAAGCGATTCAACTCCACTACCAGAAAATACCATTGTTACACAGTCAACTGTCGCGAGCCGTCGTCAAAATCAAAGATCAGAAATATCTGGACACAAAATACATTGCACTGATCAAGGCACTCTACTCGAACTCATGCAGCCAGGTGAGGGCTTACGGCGAGTTGTCATCTGAAGTGCTGACAACTAGTGGTGTCAGTCAGGGATGCCCATTATCCCCATTCCGATTCAATTTCGTCATAGATGTACTAATGGATTTAAGCCTAACTCACTTCAGAGACTCAGGGATTGACTTGCTACCAGGGAATAATCTCGTTGACTTTGAATGTGCAGACGATATAGTCCTTCCAGGCGAGGACGCTGACAAAATGCAGAGTCTTCTGAACACCTTGAGCTGCAATCTACGAATGTTTGACATGCGATTCGCTCCCGCCAAATGTAAGGTGTTGTTACAGGACTGGACTACACTGAATCCTAGGGAGTAGAGTGGTAGAGCACGCTGACCGCCTCACTTGTTTGGGAAGTACCATCAGCCCCAACGGGTTGATCTCTGACGAAATCTCAGCACAGATAAAGAGGACTAGTTCCTCATATGCCAGTTTACGCCGTCTCTGGCGTAGACGTGATATCCGGCTATCGACCAAAGGGCGTGTGTACTGCTCAGCAGTCCGCTCTGTCCTCCTTTATGGCTGTCAGACCTGGCCATTGAGAGCAGAAGACATGAAAAGATTAGCTGTCTTTGATCATAGGTGCCTGCGTTCTATCACCCGTGTGAAGTGGTGTAATAAGGTGAGCAATATTGAGGTGAGGCATCGGTCGAGTGCTAGGTAAGGAGGGGAAGTCAGTCGACGAGACTGTAAAATTACATCGACTGAGACGGTTAGGACGTGTGTTACGCATGCCTAGCCATCGCCTTCCTCGACGGGCAATGTTAGCTGACATAGGGTCAGGCTGGAAAAGAGGTAGCGGTGGTCAGACCAAAACATTGCACCATTCAATGAAATCCACAACAGTTAGTTTAAGCCAGCCACGTAGAAAAGTATAGACTTCCTGGTTGGGGTCCTCGGGATGGTGAAAACCAATGGTTGGAAACAATCGGTGATTTGGCTCAAAATCGTTCTCAATGGCGCAGATGCATCCACTCCTTGTGACTTCTAATAACCAATGAAACTATATTGTTCTTCGTTATTACTATTCCTTTGTCTTGTATTCCTGTCTACTATCTCTGTTATGCATTTCTTCTCTTGATTTTTGTGCTACATGGAGTGTGGCGACTTGAACTGCTGCACATCGGTGCAAAGTTCTATGTCGAATAAAGACAGACAGATCTGGACACAATTTCCGAGGGCAAATGAACTTCTAAACTTGAAAGCTGACGAGAAAATTATCAAAAATATCTCATGTACTCCTGAGGAGGCTTCAAGCATAAGTTAGCCTCAAAATTTTCTCATATTCCATTTCAAGATATAGCTGAAAAAATTTTCAGACAGTAATTTATTGACTAGATGTATAGAGATTGCTGAAAAGTAGAGTACGAATTTGAAAGTATGCGTAATTGACCTTCTACTGATTGTGTCCTCAAGTTTATTGAAAAAATCCAACTTTCAGATACTGAGCTATGAGTTGAAACTCTGTCTTACTTGATGATTCTAGTATTCAAATGACGACTATGACTTGGCGATGGAACCCACATGTGGCTGCTCTTCAGGAACATCGGTTACCTATTCACAAATGTTTCGTCTACTAACATCACAATTTATAAGACACTGAGATATACAACAACTTGTGGCTTTCATTATTACTTCAAATAAATTGTAAATGAAGTTTTTGCTCTAAACTTTTTTCTCCAAGGCGTCAAAGTCACAATAGTTGGTAGATGGTACACTACACACTGTGTAGAAGTCTAAGGCTTAAATTTTTAGAAAGATAGTCGGAAAATGACTTAACGAAAAACGACATGAGCTACCCTTGCGACTACGAAGTATATTGCTGAAAATTTGTGGTGTACATATTGAGAATGCACAAATTTTTTTGTTTACGAACTTCCTCATAGACCTCTGTACATGATACGACACAAAGACTGTGGTGAAGGTGACTGAAAGCTCTTCCACAATTAGGAAATGCCCTAATGGGTACTTTCCACGGAGGGTTTTTTTGTCTTTTTTTTCTTCTTCAGACTATATTGTGTAGTTTTCACTTTAGGAATGGACTATCTTGTGTAACTTAATTTGTATCAGACGTATGTCACAAAAACATCTGTATGGGAGCGCACTAAAAACAATTTTTAACATGTATATGTTCATATCATTATGTTTGCTTCCTAGCTGTGTATCCATTTAACTATTATTTTGTTAATTAAGAGAGGTATATAAACTCAGGGTTAATTTTTGGTATGTAAGCACTTGCAACGTTACGGTATGAAAACTCAACATTGTAACTCCTGAAGCCATCTTAATTAGTGGATTATTAAAAACAGTAGGAAGCGTTTTTCTGTACTCACCACATTACCTGAACCTTTTTAGTTCACTAACAAGTTCTGTTTAATTCCCTTCAGCGCATTTAAAATTTGAAGAAAACGCAGATCATGACGACTTATCAGAATGCAGTCTGATCCAAATAGGTTCAGGTGCACTCTGGGCACGTAATACAACTCAATAGACTGTACACAGTTTGTAAATTCGAATTCTTTTATCATCGTTTGAGATGGTTTTTTGAAAAGCTTGAAAATAAAACTTGTTAACAAAATGTAACTTTTTGTATGATACTTGTTTATAATGGTACAATATGTCATTGAGATTCTGGTATATCTTGATACAGTGTAGTAATTCCACTTAGTCGCTGACCTTGACATCAAATGGTATTATACTGGCTTTTATTTGCTGTTTAATTCGAAGAACTAGATTGATCTGTCCAATTAGAGCTGATTTTAAAAGTAATCTAAACTGTTCTCTATACATTTTATGCAGTTTTATGTACAGGTATATACGATAGATAGCCAATGAAGATATCCATAGGGTTACCATAATGGATAGACTTACAACTATCCACAAACTTAAACTGATCTTACCTTTCCATGCCCAGTAACTTTCATGAACTTGTCCTATGGCCCTAGTATGTGTCTCTTCTCCCATGGTGCCGACTACAACCTGTTCAAATTCTCTCCATATATTGAGGAAAAATCCAATGATTAGTCGAGTCACGGCTCCTCCTTCTAAGTGACATTCTCTCACGGATGTGGCACCCAAGTTGTCAGTTGTAAAGCCTGCAGGACATTGAAGGCAACCTCCACTTGACGGATAATCTGTTTCACCTAAATAGTAACCTATAGGGCATAAATGACATCCATCAAATGCATATGGTGTTCGAGGAGCGTGACCTGGAGGACAAGGATGACATACGGGAGACCACTTTGTTAACTGATATGCTGATGAATTCGACAGTAGTTTTGAACTTTTATTCAAAGTGTAATTTCCAAGGTGGGCTAGCGACTTTAATAATGGAGGCGGATGATAGGTTTGACTACCAGGTGGACATATGGAACGTATACGCGTAGGGATGTCATATATGTTCAATTTGTCTTTTCTGACTGATTTTCTTATTTGCTCGTCCAATTCATCTTTAAACACCGAGTGAATGTAGCGAAAGTAATCACCTGCAGGGTTCAATAATAAGAAAAGTGGTTGACTTGACAAATCTATAAGTATGGCTAATTCAGTGTATGTACTATTCGGTGACAGAAACGGTATTTGATCAGTGGGTTTAGCCAACTGAATTAATGGCATCACCCGTAGTATTATATCATGACATGGACTTTGCTGATATTGACTAATACTGATTTTTGAATTGCACCAGGCTTTTATATCACTCAGTGTTTGTGTAAGCTGTTTCTCTGTTATGATCTCTTTAGAATGTGATTTAAATGCATAACTCCATATTATTGTAGGCGGAGTGTAAACACGAAAAGCGAACTGAATTTGTCGTACTATTTTGTTACCTCGTGAGGGAAAAACCCACTTTTCTTTAACTCCGATCATGGTTTTCGATCTAAGACCTACACATGATATAGTTTCCATTTCATAAACAAACACCAGCTGTTTGTTTCCTGCTGTAGATGCTCTGTATTTAGGTTCCAAATTTGGTTTTACACCTTGTTTACCATCATTTTTGGGTGGATTTTGCGTCACAGGTATTTCACTAACTCCAGTTAATGGCAAATATATTGTTAAAACTTCTCCAACATGAATCACCTCTCCTCCTCTGTTAAACCATACTGTTATAGTGTTAGCTAAACTTTCCTCTTTTGGTTGAGAATTCACTAACAACCATTCACTCATATTTTTCTTTTCTTCAATCTTCTTCATCCAACATGGCAAATATAAATGTTTTCCTGCTGGTATCCATAGGGTGTGTGTAATGACTTCTTCGGAGTTAAGAAATTTTATATTATATAGTAAAAGATAAAGTAGGTTATTTAATACTACTGGCTTCATTGATACTTTGAGTGAAGCAAGAAAAATAGTAGTGCTGTGGATATTTGAAGTCGTGATCAATCAATAGCAATCGATAATCTGCGTAAATATGATTTTTATTGCACAAGGGAAGATCATTCTGTGATTAAATCACTCACTGAGATATAACACCTGTCATTTCAAGTTGAGGAAGCAAGCATAAAAACAGCAAAGGGAGGTGTAGTGAAATTAAAATAGGCTAATATTAACAGATCTAATACTAAAATGACGACTGATGGGCATTCCCAGTATCCACGAGATTTCAGAGAATTGAGTGAATCAGCAGTATTTTGAATTGTCTTAAGTGCGACGAAGTTTCCAGTTATTGATTGTTAACATCTTCAGGGCCCCAAAGTGACTGAAGCTAACACGCGATGACTTCATAGTTTGGTGCTGCATTTTGACTCGTCCATCTCTTCTCCAGACCAAATCAGTGTCATGTTTGCCACTCAATTGTAGTTGTAAAGCAAAATGGCAAAACACGTTTTAAATGATATATTTCCTAAGGAGAAACATTTATATATCTCTTCTGACTTCCCGTGTGAAACTGTTACTTGTCCTACAACAGAGTGTGATTGTTGATGTTAGACAGTCAGGGGCAATCGTCAAGAAGCTTTGAACCTAGGTTTCGTGCTAGTTGGCGCTTGTCAGCAAGGTGTATCTGCAATCTTTAAGGAACTCATGTCCCTTCTGAGATTCGAACCCGCGTCACCCAGTGCTGCAGTCAGAGTCACTATTATCATTATTATTGTTATTACCACTATCGCTATTATCAGTATTTATTTTATTTTTACATTTACTTACATATTTCCTGACTAATTTATCCGGGTAATTAATAATAATAATAATATTAATGACGACACCAACAATAGGGAATCTAAATCATCAGTAGTAATTCCATACAAGGAAGGAACCTCAGAAGCTTTACACAGAATTCTCAACAAGGCAGGAATAAAAACGGCATTCAAACCCACAAACTCAATTAGAAACAAGCTTTGTCGGTTAAAGGATCCTGTAGAGCCTTTAAAACAAAACAATTTAGTTTATCTCATACCCTGTCTGCAATGATTGTCAGGTCAAACTAGTAGAACAGGGGCAGTCAGACTAGCTGAACATAAAAACTTAGCAAAATCTAGATTGGTTGACCCGAATGAAATAAGAAATCTAGAGAATAGTTCAGCTATAGCACTACATGCAGTCACACACAACCATACAATAGGATGGGATAGGATGACAGTTTTAAAATCTAATGTCACAGGGTATAGGGAGAGATTGATAACAGAAGCTTTGTTTATTGAATCAACTGCAAATACATGTAATAGGAATGATTCATCACCTGTCCCCGATATATGGAAAATTCTACTCCCCCTACGACAAATTGGAGAAAACAAAGAAAGCTATAAAACTCAAGTGTCAAAGTCGTGTGATCACAATTGATATGATTATGAACAATAAATTTTGTTCGAAACGTCATCCAGTAAATAATACTGTTTCACTGTTTTTGATTGCACACTAGTCAGTAACTAGTGTAATGTGTCTAGTCCTATCTTCGGTGCAGACTGCCGATTGCCTCCAACCATCTAATACTGTTTCACTGTGTGATATACCTAATAAACAAACTAATATGGAAACAATAATAATTCTCGAGCGTATTGTTCTTTCTCATGATGTAGTATAAAAGCGCATTTCATTCGGTTTGAAGCAGGGGCTTAAACTAAATTGTTGAAAAGATTTTGTCGACATCTTACAGATGATTTTCTTTTATGAAATATCTTTATTCAGTCTATTTTATGACTTTTAGGCTTGCTGTATAACAGTTATCTATAAGATCCTTTCCATTACTTTTCGCTACATTCTCACCTTAGCAGTAAAACTTTTTGCTGTTCTTGAGGATAATACTACCGTTCCAGAGTGTTTACTTTCAACTAATCATCTTTCAACACTGTTTTCCAATGATTGTTGCTTATCTGGATAAGATTAAGACTAGTATAGACTCATACTGATTTTATTTACTGTCATTTTTCTGGTATATACTTCTTTTCTTATCACTAAACACCACCGACTGTTAATGCTTAGTGGCAATATGTAAAATATTGTCGCGAATTGGCTGCTTAACTGTATGACTTTGACGAGCACTTCTGCAGAGTCCTCTTTTCGTAGGTGCGACCTTCTAAATAACATCCTACTCTTGTTGGTTGCTGACGTTAAGAAATGGTGCATGAAGCAATGTTACTTTTTGCATACCTTTGTACATCACATTTCGATTTTGTCGATTTTCAGTGTACGGAGTATAATCAACTGGTTGAATATTAGTATAATAATGGTCAATGTAGAAAGTGGCAAAAGTTTTCAATGCTCAATTCTTCAAAATCAATTATTACTGGAATTTCTAAACGCTTCCTAATACACCTGTGGAAAAATCACATTTTAGTCTTTCGACTAGAATGCTTTTTGATCACTCAGCCTATCTTAAGTGTTGATTGAGAACCTATCAGGTTTTTAATTCTTGATATAAATACCAGCGAAAATGTACATTTACCCAAATATACTAGTTGTCCTACCGCAAAGAAGTTTCATGAGCAAACTATACTTCACTGGATCTCACCCTGAGTCTGTGAGACGTAGTTGTTAAAGACACTAACTCCAAGGAGGCATGTTATGTAATTTGGCGTTGAAAATTCGAATCTTTCTCCTTATGCTGGGTGTCGATGATTTCCAAACTGATTTCAGAGTGATGAATCTCTGCCTTGGCTTTCCGATTTTGGTTTTGACATCCTCATCGGTTGCCGCCTGTAGTAGAAACGACTCTGCCTAAATAAATGAGAGAAGTTGCCTCTTCCAAATTTCTCACGTTACCAATGATTGGTGCACGTGGTTGTTGGTTAGGTGTATTCGTCACTCCCGCCTTTTCTATTTTCACTTGAAGTCCTGTCTTCACTAGCTGCTTCTGCAAACTTGTTGGTTTTCACCTGTAGGTCCTCGAGTTTGTGTGACACTAGACACAAATCACCTGCGAGATCCAAACCTTCTAGAGTCTTTTTCGTGGTCTAACGTATTCCTCTCTACCCGCGATCTGTCGCATAATCCAGTCCACCACAATTAGGATTGTCATCAGTGATAATAGACAGTCTTATTTTACTCCTGTCTTCACTCCACACGTTTCACTGAGTTTTCCGCTGTGAATCACTTGACACGTGATTTTGTCATTTAGCTGTTGAATGAGTTCGATGAAGATTTGGGACGCTCAGTGGTGTTGAAGTAGGTGGC